ATATTATTATTATTATTATTATTATTATTAGTAATTTTCAACCGGGCCGTATAGGCGAGCCTCCCAGGGGGCATTACGGTTGGGCTAACTGCGGGATAATCTCTAATTTACATGATCCCCCTCTCCTAAAAATGAGGTCTCAATACCCTCAATAGCCTCCCAAGCGATAGCTAGCGCGCTTGCACTTTTGTCTCCGATCCTCTGAGCGCCTCCGTGCACGCTTTCCAATCTTTTATATAATGTTTTGATTGAAAGCTGCTTTATCCTGTAAGGGTAGCTTTTGTATGTATTCTAGTACAACGCAGAGTATTGTATATATCGATTTTGTTCTTTATAGCCTTACTATATCGATCGCCTCCTATTCTGTATTTGTGTTCACCCGGATCGATCAATCCATTTCCATTTCCTCTTTCTATTCTTCTGGTAGTATTCTAGAGTATATGCTCCTGTAGAAGTCTGTTATAGCAATAAATTCAGCGAACTTGGCTGGTGTGTGCATTAGCTGTTTCAGTAGTCGTTCTTGAGCCGCCCGGTTGCGGGGTGGGTATTTGGGCCTGATATCTGGGGGCCAGGTTTCATAGGTCACAAGGACTTTGTGGTAATGCACAATATGCTTGAGGGATTTGTATGCGCTATATAAGCAATAGATCGTTACTTCCTTGTGTTTAAATCGTTGGTGATAGCTTTCGAAATCGCTATGTACTGAGTAGATCGCTAGTATGTGGTGGAGAGTAGCTCGTAAGAGTTCTAGTTTATTAGAGTATTTGTTTGTGTTCCTTAGATTCCATTTCTAGTACTGTTTGGAGAGCATTGGTTTCTGTTTGATCCACTACGCCTGTGCTGCCGATTCCATAGCAGTTTTTGCTATAGAGCGGATACCGCTTGCTGTAGGTCGATTCGCATGCCCTGAGGCTGATTTTCTTGTCCCTTTATCAGCTAGGGCTTTTATATAGAACAAACAAAACAGAGTATTATAGAATTCATAGCAAAACAGGTTATCGAATCAAAACAAATTTGTTACAAAGTTGATACAGAGGTTATGCTTTTTAAGCTAGGCTATTCCTAATACTATTAGGTAGTAAGCTAATTCGATTATGTACAAAATGATTTTCTTTTCAATATAATCGTTTATTCTAAGTCCTATACGGATATAGAATATAACTCGATTTCCAGGCAGGATGTTTCTGTTGAATCCTATGATTTCGAAAGCAATAGACAATTAATATATCAATAATTTTTGAGAAGATATCCAGCTTCGATTCGCAAAGACAATTCCTTTACACCTGCTATCGATCATAATGTAAGTCGGAAGAATACCTTTTCCTAGAAGCAAGATAACAGATGGGATTATTAGATTTGTATAATTATTCAGTTCATCTTCTAGAGGAAGACTATGAGTAGTAGCAGCAGATAAGCAGAGAGTATGTAGAATATGGGTCTAATCACATTTTAGATCAGACGGACTTCTTTTCCTGTATTGTTAGAATTCGTTGAGGTATTGGATTGCAGAAAGCGATTGATTCGTCACCTACAGGAAACAAATGAAAACGGAAAAAAAGCTATCGAACTATTCCGATTGATTCGGGTTTGTACAAAGCGGGTATCAAGGAGTGAGCAGTTTCGTATTAGGTAATCGGCAGAATTGTAGTAATAGTATTCACTACAATCTCGGTGTGAATTAGTTTTCCTAAGCATATATTCCTTTTTTCCAGAGCTTAAGTCTATTAGGTCTTCAAGGATAGGTTTCGGGCTATTAGGTTGTACAAACAGAGCAAGAATTATCTTTCGGGAAGGGTTGTTGAAAATAACAGGGCGGATATGATGGACTTGTTGTTGGTATTGACAAAATTGGTTATCAAGTTGTTGCAAGTGATTGGTGTATGGACGGAATTCACAGGTCGGGGCAAAGTTGTATAACAATATATCTTATAATTCATAGGAGATTTTTTGAAATAGGAATGAAGTCAAAGTATTGTCGGATATCTTTCCTTCCAAAGCAAGTCTTTGGAATTCTATAAAAAAGGTATTAAAATCGAGGTGCTTTTACTTTAATAGGTATAATTTGTTTTATGTATTTTAGATACGATCGGGATCTCCAAAAGCGTTTTCGAGATATTTAAGGAGTGTAGTATAGTTAGCGAATTGGGGGGTCTTATAAAAAATCTTAAGTAATATAAGTTTATATACTTTTCCAATAAGTCTTTCAGCAGTATAAATCAAGTAGGCTAAAGCGATCGGGAATCTATTATTATTTGTATTCAATTTTCCATATATTTATTAAACAAATCTTTGCAGATCAGAGCAGGTACCATCGAATTCTTTCGGATCTAGAATATACTCATTCAATCGAATAGTTGAAACGAGGATAGCAGGTTTGGGAGTAGAATCAGTAGGCATCTCGGGTGATACAGTTTTGGTATAGGCAAAGGCAATAGGTACAGATTCTACAAAGCGATCCAGCAAACGGGCATTCTGAGTAGCGATTTGTTCCTACAGGGCAACTTGAATACATTCCCAGATTAGCATTTCGGATATCTCATATTCAAGCAATCGTTTGGTTTCCTCTAGCTCAGCATAGTACACAAATACCGACTGGAGATACTAGTATCAGACCTGGGGATCCTCAGCTACAGAAATACCGAATTCGAAGGTATCCCTAGGCTGGCCAGACGGGTGCGGAGCAGATATCATAAGAATGATATATTAATAGGTAGAAGCTATATAATATCATAGGGCAGGTAAATAGAAATAGGGCTTTAGTAACTTTACCCTAATTTAGCAAAGTTATATTAGTTCAGATAATAGATTCAGATTGAAGATTAAGATGTAGCTCGAAGAGCTACAATACAGGATCTTCTAAGTTGAAGATATACAGAGTTTTCATAGCGAGCTAGCCCGATCGGGCCCTAGCTCCCTTGCGCACCGGCGCAAGCGCTCGTTTCGGTCCTATCCGATAGGATCAACATGTCACGTGGTTCCACCCCGTGACAATAAAGTTTTACTATATTTATCAGACTTTTATATCTAGCAGTATATTCAAAAAATAAAAATAAACCTCTATTTCGAATAAAGGTTGTATTATTACAGATAATTTATATTGATAGTCGAAGAATCAATCGAAAAAGAATTGAATCATCTCTATTTTAAAATCGAATTGCTCGTAAATAAACTATTGCCAGAGATTCTGAACATATTAAAGATTCACATTATTATTAAACATTAAAAGTTTTGCCTAGATTCCTACAATATCTTCTACATCGATTATATACATAAATTGAAAACAATACATAGAAATAATACAGGAATTGATAATACAGAATACAATTCCTGCTTTTCTATCCCATTCAGCAATATCGGCTCGACCGCTTACTGATCTTATACTTTTCCCCATACACAAAAACAACACAAATACTATTATTATAACAATTCAAATAGTTTCATAAAAGTCTATCCAATTATAACCATTAAAAATAACTAGTATTCCCCATTTTGTTTGAACTATATCAACAATAATCTTACTTGTCATAATATCAAAAATAAAGATAGCTATAAGGAAATGAGAACTCGAGACTCAGGAAATACAAAGATATAAAATAAAGCTTATAATGATACAACGCTTATAACCTATCAGAAATAAACAGTAAATTACACATAAGGAGTAATATATTGAAATATATATATCGGATCTATATATCCGAGAAATCCGAAAAAGGAGTTTTATAGTGGTATGTATGTGTCACACACATGCTACACATGTGATTTCCAACAATAAAAGACCTTGGCGAGCTTATTATTGTTGATATCCTTATAGTTATATTGTTTGTATTTGAATTTAATATATTTAGTAAACTCCTTAATATTAAAATCAATAATCTTATTATTAGTCTGTTATTCTTTTAATAAACTTAATCACTCCTTGCAGTACTTTTCTTCCTTCTTTGTGTATAGGTTTTTGTTGATAGCTTTAAGAGTAATCGGGTTGATAGCGTTGTTGCTATTCGATATAGTGATATGTGAGGATATTCCGAAGTTTGTAGGTATTTTGGAGGTTGTAGATATGAGTGTTTATGAGAGAGTATTTATAAAGATATTTAGATAAAGGTTTGTGGATTATTTTATATGATATATAATATAAAGATAAATATGTAATAAATGTAAGCTCGATTCGTTACAATTGATAAAATCGATCTTCTTGAATATATCTTCCTGATATAATTATCCAGAGCATATTCTTTAGCACAACAAAAAGAGATAGCGCACTATACTAAGTACAATAATATCTTCTTTGTAGTCTTTTCAGAATTTCTATCAATCTTAAAAACTACCTCAAAACACCTAATGCTTTTAGTAGAATCCAAGGCCCTAATTTGTGATATCACTAATTAATATTGATATCAACTTGATTGATAAATATAAAGTACTTTAATCTATTATAGTTGTATTCATTCTTAATCATTATTATCTATAGAAAGCTAGTAATTAATATAATAAAAGTGCTAACGCTAGTGCATACACTAATGCAATACAGTGCCCTCTTTAGATCACATGATCGATATCCCGACACCTACAAACTACTATTGAATCCTAACCCCCAGCCCATGGCTTCCTTGCATTCTGCATCAGTCTGAGTATGAATTTTGAATGGTCAAAGATCGTCTAAAGACTTGGAGACTGATTCAGGTACCTTAGAATGCTGTAAGCTGAATGTCCGAATGCGATTCAGAGTATCGAAGACTGAAATGATGGTGTACGAAGATTGGCAGTCAGCTTTTCGAAAGGAAGTTTGTAACTAACTTCGAATGCCTGAAACAAAGCTGAGAATTCCATTGTATTATTTGGGATTCTATGGGATATCGTATGCCGAAAGTTGGAAGTGGAGTTGAGTATCTCAGGACACGATTAAAGGCTGATTCGAAAACTGAAAATTGAATGCTTGAAATAGAATGGATTATTTCAGGGTATAGTATGAGGCTCCAAATATCTTATGAGAAAGAGACTGCTTATCTTTTGACAAATCTCGTCGTCTTCTTCCACAATTCCTTGACTACGATTCCCACCGGTCTCTCTCTTAACATCCGAGCCTTGTAATAAACTCCTGAACTCTCAAGCCCAAGCTCTTTAAAAATGTCCCATACACGAAGCTTTTCTTTCTTTGTCTGAATCAAGAGTCGCAGATATGGATCCAGTACTGAGGGATTTGCAGTTACGGATGCTTTGACTAGTCCTACGCATACCCTGATCCATTGTGTGATTCGTTCTGTGTCGAGCGTTGCCACATGCTGGCGAAACTCAATCGTACGCTTGATACTTCCGACGTTTTGACTTGGTTGTAAATTGACAAAGTTGTAAGCCCCGCTTTGCATGCAGATAGTGTCGAGGAATTCGCGCACTGTTGGAGGCGTCCTGGTTAAGATCCATTCGAGTACCTCTTCTCCTGGGTCTTTGAGAGATTGTTCTCCGATCTCGCGTCCCGAATTGGAACAGCGATGGAAGCTTTGGCAGAATGAATTGACTCTGCGATGCGGAGGGTGAATAGTCTCGATCCATTTCTCTGTAGTCCAGAGAATGCCCCACAAATTCCTTAAAGTATCGCCGTCGAAAGCATCAACTCCGTTGCCGACATGAACATGCAAGCCCATCGATTCGTTTGTGACGACTTTATAAGTGGAGACGATGATCTCCCAAACCCGTTTAACATCGCTTAGCGCTTCCTCGCTGAAGTAATAAACTGGAGATTTGATCTCGAGCTTATGGTAGTCGTAGATTGACTCATCTGGGAGGTCAATACTGATGTCAGTCCCGATGATCCACTTGCTGGTCATTTCAGTAGTATATCCATCTTTCTGATATTCTGCATCCTCCATATGTATAGCTGGGAACCCAGCGCAGTTAAGGGTTTGTGTAATATTTTCATACACACAAAAACGGCCCTTAGCTCTATACGAGCGTTCTGCGAGGGAACTCTCGCCAAAGTTTGCTGGTCTTGGATCATACTGCAACGGAGGTGAGTTGGCAGAACGACCAACCCCGTAGACTATACGGCCATCTCTTGGTGTTGGGTTTTGGCATATGTCCCTTAAAGTACCAACAGCGATCTCCAATTCCACACCGAAGGTTAAGCGTGGTGATATGCCAGTTGATCCTGGCTCCGGGTATGTGTTGCTCAATTTTACATGCGAGACGTCGAGAGTCTCGGCTTCAGCGTGCGACTCGAAATTGACCTCTACCATGTGAGTTGTCGGGTCTCTCCTAGTATCAATTGAATCCATATTGACCAGCTGTGGCTTCCTTCCACAGACTCTCTGCGATGTATTTCCGCTGTAAAATATCTCTGGACCAAGTTGGTATGGAGAAAGAGTTATGGAAATAGAGGAGGCTCTTTAAAAATTGACTATGAGATCGAGTGGTCGTGGTGGTACTTTCAATCGAGAATTTTCTTCGTTGAAAAAATTAAGATCTTAGTCTGAGTTTATCAATGGGAATTATCTTTGGTAAACTGAAATCTGAAGTCGCTTGTAATCCTCACTTCATCCCATGTAACCAGGATAAGAACTTTTATCTGGTGATGGGAGCTAGTGGTTTGTATTTTTGACATCGGCAGGGCGACCATTTCTGTGCCTTGCGGCCTCGAGAACATATGAATTGTTCACATCTCGAAATTTCTGGCACAAGTTGTGTCCTTGGATTAAACCACTGTAACCTTTCAGATAAATAGAGTCTTTTTACGACCATTTGAAGTTGGGATATTGATTTCTATTGATAAAAACTCCTCTCAGGGGCTCGGCTGGTGTTGATCGTGGTATCTTTTTTGTTTTTCTTCAAGGACAACTCCATTCAAATTTCTTTGTAGATGGCTGACTGCCTATTAATCATACAAACAGAATTGATGATAACCTTATCATGCAATATTGTTCAACTTTATTTCGGTGTTGTATTAGGTCACAGAAGGTAATTGTGATATGTTTCTTGCCTCAAGACTTCAAAGGGCCTATTTTGGTGGATTGCTTTCTGTGTATGTCCTCCTCCAATGTTCCAGAGAAAGCATTAGCAGTGACAGGTTTGCAGCAAGTTGTTTGTCAATGGACTTGTGGGTTTTCTGCTTGTATATTGTTAAGGAAGCTGAATTTTGGGTGGACAATGTCGACAAGATCTTGTAAAGCTTGCAAGAGCAAATGGAAACTTCAATCCAAGAATATCCATAAGCCCACTTCGTTCATGTTAGGCATTGGCGACAGGCGCTGGGTCATGCTCTTTACGAGAGTTCTAAGATCGATTTCGCAATGATATGAGCGCTTATACAATCCTGATAATCTATTGAAGTCAGCATAAGACTCATGTTAACAACAGCGTCGCGATTTCCTACCATGATGTTTCCATCCTGATAGCACTCATTGAATTTCAACTTGAAAACGCACTGAGAACTTTCGATCTCTACCTCTTTTGAAAATCGGAGTCAATTTAAGTCACTACTCCGGAGGGAATATAACTCCTCGTCATCCTTGAATCGAATGTGTTGCGCATTAGCGAAGTCTTTGTTGACGAAACCATCATTCTTGACGTTGATCGCTCAGATGATATCGAGAAGGTGAGTTTCTAGCACCGAGACAAACGCCTTTTCGAATGAGTATATGAAATAACAGTTCCGTGGGCAGTTTCTTACCTCTTTCCATCATACAAGCTCTCGGTAAAAACGGATATGTCAGCCAACAGCATCCAAAAGATGAATAGGCTGCTGACCGCCCATTTGATCTCGTATGTGTTGTCACTCCATGAACCTTTAAAACCATTTGAAGATCCTCGATAATCGACACTGGATTGTGTTACAATTCAAGGCTAATCATTGCGGTTATATATATCCCCATAGTAGTATCCAAGATGTATCTGTTAATCATGACAAGACCACCGCCTAGCTTTGAATGTGGTAATACATCGTTTGGGCCATACAAAGCCTTTAGATGCACAAGGATACATTCTGGTACCCGCCGCATACTCACAAAGTATAAATTGATTCGACGCGCAAGGATTAATATCGTGAGGCTGAGCGCGTTTTTCGCTAGACGTTGCTCCAGACTTGGGACAGATTAGTATCTTACGTAACCTCCTGGATGCTTTATATCACTCACATTTGTCTTGTCCTGATAAATAGCTATGTTGATGCCGATTGACCAGCAATTAGATCGGCTTCAAATCTGACATCACTATCACTCTGGTATGTAGCTTTTATAGTCCTTGTTTAAATGTATCTCGCGCTCGAAGTGATATCACATTCAACAAATGAAGCTGGCACTCTCTGATCCAGTTCCAAAATTTGCTGATTGTTATCTGAATGGAGAGGCAGCTTCTTGTAATGTGATCTTTTCTGCACGCTCAATGTCCCTGAGCTCTAGTCTCTTTATATTCCTTCAAAGTGAGAGTTGGTGTACGACTTTTCCAAACTTCCAATTGGAGTTATCACTTTCACCAAGGCCTCCAGTAATCATCGAGGTTCAGATCGACAGCTACGATGACATTGCCGACAGAGAGCCTGGATTCAGCTAACATATCAATAAGCTCTGGAAGGGTTGAAAGAAGTTCGAAGTTCTGGGATTTGAAAACTATCCTGGGATGAAAAGATTTGTAAGAACATAATAAAATACTTTGGGTAAGGTATGCTTATTGAGGCTAGCAAAATATTGCAGCACATAATGTTGAGGTATTGCAGATATTGCAGATATTGCAGATCAATTGTCTGGATTAATTTGGAAAAGATTGTTGAAAAATATAAAAGATCAAGAAAAATTGAATCAAATTTGTGTCCTCGGCTAGGACCTAACTAGGGCGGTGGGAGGAAAGTGGCAGTTCTCTGGGTTCGAAGTTGTTCTAGGAAGATTCATGGGATTATTCAACTCCAAGGTTGCTTAAATAACTTGGAATTGTGGACCACCTGGGCTTTGAAAAACTGACTGAGAAAGAAAGCTAGAGATTCTTTATGCTTTCGATTTATGCATTGTGTTCTTCCCTTACATACTTCATGGCTTACAAGTTCATCTTCACTGGGTATCAAATTGTTAGATGCAGAATTTGGCCTGCATGTTGAGTTCAACCTCATGGACGTTGGTACAAGATGTGATTTTGATTCTCCTTGATGTAAACAACTAAAAAGTTGGAAATCAAGTATAGGAGTAGATTCATCACAAGAACTTTGATCTTGATATAAATGTGAAAGCCCCACCTGCTTTTACATCTTAAGCGACTTGTCCACTCTTCCCCTTTTCCCACCTTAATGATGTGTCCTAAACAATCCATGACCAAGTCCACTAGATACTTCTGCATGATGTATCCTCAGCCCACGATGAAGCGACGAGCTTCGTTCCCTTTGGTATCCTGGATTGCCATGATGTAAAGGGTGATGCGAAGATTGATGTGGTAGGTGTATACCATGCGGCGTGGGCACAATAGTTCTGTGTATGTATGGTTCGACAATAACTGGCATGCTGGCAATGTTCCAATTGGAGCGATAGGTGGGGGGAAGTATGCTATGGAAAATGAGAGGAATATTAGTAGGCAAACTATGGTGGATAGCGAGTTGAAGAGGGTGATATGATCGGATTCAGGATAAGTTGGCTTACGCGATGACCCGGGGTGGAACAGGAGGACGTGAGTGGAGCGCAGGAGATCCACTGGACATACCAAAGCAACACATCATAAAAAGAGAATAACCGCTTTGATACTAGGGAAGTTAAGATCAAGGTAAGAATAAGAATTGCTGGCTATTTGAGAAAAGTACGCTTTCTAGTATGTTCAATTTGAACTTTTTAACTGCTTGAAGGATTCTTTATGAATGGGTATTTATCTGCTTATATAGTGCTCGTTATGGTACACAGTGCTCAGTAGAGTGGTACTCGTATCTTCTATTTCACATTTTGACAGTAATTGCGGATTTCCGGAGAGACATTTTGTAGACATTTGATAGACATTTGATAGACTTACTTCTTGACGCACTCTACTTACACCTCGTGTCACTGAACTCTTGGAGCATGGAGCTACTTGCTGATCTGGGCGTTCGCTAGAAATGCAACCATGTTTAAACAAGTAGAAGCGGGGCGTAGGTTGTATTAGACTCGTTAACGATTAGATGAGTAGGATTTCTGCTCCAGTTCAAGATTTTCATGAATGTCTGCTTCCACATTCGTAATGATTTTTTGAAAGTTAACGGAAACTCATTGAAGTCATTGAAGTGCGGGGCACTCGATTTGATCTGAATTCTACTTCGGTGTCATCCTCACAAAAATCGGGTTGACATAAAGGACTCTCTGGTGACTAGACAGTCTCCCTGTCCCAAAACCTGCCGCAGCAGATTATATAGAGTTTCTCTATGTATGCCTGGATGAGAAGTAGATTTTGTACACATCTCTATTGATACATGCCGAATTTCTTCGAACCCCGCGGCTTATGCAATTCCTCTTGTAGAGGTTTTTATTCCATGTTAACAACAGCTCCCAATTCCTTCAATGTTGCAATAATTTTCTCGGCTTCCTCCTTTGGCACACCCTCCTTCATCATCTTTGGCGCACTTTCGACGAACTTTTTACTGTCCACCAAACTTAATCCCAACATGCTCTTGATCTCTTTGATGATCTTAGGTTTTGCCCCCGCATCAAACGAAGCCAACTTCAGGTTGAACAAAGTCTTCTCTTGTTGTACTGGTGCGGCATCTTCCTCCTCAACTGGTGCAGCGGCTTGGGCAGGACCAGCAGAAAATCCCCCCATTGGCATATCGGGAATATTTAGTCGTGACTAGAGAATAGGCTGATCAGTAACTGCGAAAAACTTCCTCGGGCGCATATATTTGGCGGAATATCCTTACCTTTAAGCTGGCAACTAAATCAGCTGTCTCTAATAAAGTCAATTGGCTGATTTGGTCCACAATCCCGGAGATCTTTGGGTTCGCTGACGCTGCCTCTGTTGATGCCCATCTCGCAGAAGGATTTCTTCTTTGTGTAAGAGAAGCTGTGGAAACGCGGAGGGACGAGGATGATCGGAGAGATCGTATGCAGCTGCGAGCTGCGGACTGGCAGGATAATGACATCGTGTGTGGGTATGAGAGGCGATATGATAATACAATCTATGATTGTTGATGAGGACTTTGTAGACTTTCTGCATTGTGGAGCTAAATTTCTAGCGCGTCGGTGAAACCTCGGCACTGTCAAAAAAAGTTGATTGCGATTAAGAAAAAAAGTTCGAGATAGTTGCATTGAAATAAACAATTGATATCCCACGATTTTTATGATTGAACGAAATGGAGGCTATTCAGGATAGAAATAATCCTGATATAACCATGGAAAGCAAACTACAAGCAGACCTTCCAGAGGAAATTCTGGAAATCGTTAACCTCCAACAATCCCCTCACTTCCTCGAAACTCTCGCCATATCTGCATTGAAGCCCAAACAAACACTCAAATTATTCACATATTTTAATACCTTAATCGCCGACTCGGCTGCAAGATGGGTTGCCAATTCGTATCCTGGTACCCAAAAAAATGAAGTTATTGAAGCATTCTCACGAATACTATACCTTGCACCGCACCTGAACACCTTTCTCGAAAAATATCTCTCCGAAACCACACCTTCTACAGAGAGAATGGCCCTTCTCGCAATATAATATGCCTGGGAGATGGCGCAACCGCCACGAGCAACGGTCTGTCTGATCTTGCGTTGCAACGAATTCTGCTGGCAACATGGAGACTTCTCAACTTCGATAAGCAGGCCTACTCTGGGACAGTTTCAAGCTCCGCGATTCAGAGCCTTCTTGGACATACTGATTTAGCAGTTCGGTATCTTGCGGTGAGAATCTTCTGCCAGCTTCAATTCGCCTCGGACGATAGATTGGAGGCAATGGTTGCGAAATTCGTTGGAAATACAATGGCAGTAATGGGGGACTTCGACGGCGAAATGGTGGACTATGGATTCCTTAGTATTTTCGAAGAACAGCGGCTGAAAAATGCTGCTTTGGGTTTGAGCACTGAAACAGAGATGTTTCAATCTCAAAAGGTATTACAGGAGTTTTCACCACTGGTTGTGCAATATTCAGATATACTCTTACCTCGGCCAAACGGCAATCCTTCGCAGCCATCTAAACTCATATCAACAACCACAACCTCGCAGAACAGGCAATCCTTTGCCAAGGCCCTTATGTCTTCATCGCCAATCTTACTCCACGGGTTGGCCGGTGCAGGAAAGACTTCGTTGGTCAATGACTTCGCACGGGAACTTGGGATGGATTCAAGCATGGTTACACTTCATTTGAATGAGCAGACTGATGCAAAAATGCTTATTGGCATGTACGCTACAGGATCTACACCTGGATCTTTTACGTGGAGAGCAGGTGTTCTGACTACAGCTGTTAAGGAAGGGCGTTGGGTTTTCATCGAGGATCTTGATCGCGCTCCCAATGAAGTTATCAGCGTAATACTGCCACTCGTTGAGAGAGGCGAGCTTCTAATACCAAGTCGAGGTGAAACTATCAAGGCCAAGGCAGGTTTTAAGCTTCTTGCGAGCATTCGAACCTCTTTGAATGTAAGTGGCGGAGAGATTCCACCAGCATTACACATGCTCGGAGCACGAATGTGGCAGCGTGTTCCTATTCACATGCCAAATCGAGACGAATTTCGAGAAATCGTCGAAGGTACTTACCCAATATTGCGCCAATTTTTGCCTGGAATTATCAGCGTTTACGAAAGGCTCTACACACTCTCTATTAAGCCTTCTTTTGCATCCAAAACTCGAACTTCGATAGGCCGCCCAATAAGTCCTCGGGATCTTCTGAAGTGGTGCAGAAGACTAGCAAGTGTTCTTACATCATCAGGATCCAAGACCGGCAGCGAGCCTATAACCGACAGCACCAAATATGAGATGTTTTTAGAAGCCGCCGATTGCTTTGCAGGAAGTCTACAGTCCGAGGAATCCCGGAGATCGGTGGTTTCATGCATTGCTGAGGAAATGCACATTGATCCTCAGACTATGGAACATTCTCTCACTGGCCATGTTCCACGTTACGATGACGGCGATAGCGAGCTTTTGATTGGTAGAGTGCGATTGTCTAAGAAACGAAGTAGTCGTGTTACGAAGCCTACTAAAAAGAGCCGTCCCTTTGCGAATACAACGCATGCCAAAAAACTGCTCGAGCAAGTCGGAGTAGCGGTCCGGATGGCAGAGCCAGTCTTGTTAGTTGGAGAGACAGGTATTGGTAAAACTACTGTCGTACAGCAGCTTGCAGATTCGTTGGGTTTCAAACTCACTGCTGTGAACTTATCGCAACAAAGTGAGGTCGGTGATTTGCTCGGAGGATTCAAACCTGTGAATGTCCGGAGTCTTGCAATTCCACTTAAAGATGAATTCGACGATCTTTTTGCGTCGACAGGCATTTCTGCCACAAAGAATCAGAAGTACATTGATCAACTTGGAAAGTGCGTCGCAAAGAGTCAATGGAGCAAGGCATCGAAATTGTGGCGTGAGGCTCCCAAAATGTTTGAAAAAATCGTTTCTGAGCTTGCCAAAAAAGAAGAAGCAAGTATGCATATAATCTCTGAGCAACCAACAAAGAGACGAAAGACCGAGTCAAAATTACAGTCACTGTTGAAATTGAAGTCTCGTTGGTCAAGGTTCTCGCAGAGCTTGGACCAATTCGATATTCAGTTGTCTGCAGGCTCCAAAGGGTTTGCTTTCTCATTCGTCGAAGGTAACATTGTCAAAGCAGCTCGCAATGGAGAGTGGGTACTTCTTGATGAAGTCAACTTGGCATCTCCAGATACCCTTGAGAGTATAGCTGACCTGTTGCACGGTGGTACTGGTTCTCCCTCAATTCTTCTTTCTGAAACTGGTGAAATAGAACGGATCCAAGCACACCCAGACTTCCGCATATTCGGTGCCATGAATCCAGCAACAGATGTTGGAAAACGTGATCTTCCTATGGGACTACGTTCTAGATTTACTGAACTTTATGTCGATAGTCCGGACAAGAATCTTGACGATCTCTTAGCTGTCATCAAAGCATATCTCAAAGGGACAAGTAGCAATGACGAAAGGGCTGCTCATGATGTAGCACGTCTTTATATGAACACGAAACGACTCGCCGAAGAGAAGCGATTGGTTGATGGTGCAAATGAAGTACCGCACTTCAGTTTGCGAACATTGACACGTGTTCTCTCCTACGTCACCGAAATTGCTCCGTCTTATGGCTTACGAAGGGCGCTCTACGAAGGGTTTGCGATGGGGTTCTTGACTCTTCTTGATCGAGAATCCGAAAAAATGCTTATGCCACTTATTGAGCACCATTTGTTAGACAGCCACGGCAACCCACAAGCTCTTTTGGCCCAAACACCAAAACACCCAGATGATGGAAAGCAATATGTACGATTCATGAACAAGAAAAGAGATCGTCAATATTGGATGCTTCAAGGTTATGAGACCCCTCAAGAGCAACCTCACTACATTATCACGCCATTTGTCGAGCGTAACATGCTTAACTTGGTCCGTGCAACTTCAACTCGTCGCTTTCCAGTTTTAATTCAAGGTCCAACTTCATCCGGAAAGACTAGTATGATCGAGTATCTCGCTAAGTTTAGCGGAAACAAATTTGTGAGAATCAACAATCACGAACATACTGATCTACAAGAGTACTTGGGCACTTATGTCTCTGATTCGGATGGAAAGCTGCGCTTTCAAGAAGGTTTGCTTGTTCAGGCCCTTCGTCAAGGCCACTGGATTGTTCTTGATGAAACTCAACTTAGCTCCTACCGATGTTTTGGAAGCACTCAATCGTCTTCTTGATGACAACCGTGAACTTCTCATTCCAGAAACGCAGGAAATTGTTCGTCCCCATGAGAACTTCATGCTCTTCGCAACCCAGAATCCTCCAGGACTTTATGGTGGTCGTAAAACTCTATCTCGGGCGTTCCGTAATCGTTTTCTCGAGCTCCATTTTGATGACATTCCAGAAGACGAACTCGATTTTATCCTTGAGAAACGAAAGTCAAAAGGTTGCGCCATCAGATTGCCGAAGAATCGTCGCAGTATACAAGGAGCTTTCACGCCTCAGGCAGTCTACACGACTTTTCGAACAGAAGGATAGTTTCGCTACCCTTCGTGATCTTTTCCGATGGGCACTACGAGATGCTGACAATAGGGAGCAGCTTGCCGCTAATGGGTACATGCTACTTGCCGAACGTGTTCGCAATTCGGAAGAGAGAGCAGCCGTCAAGGAAATCATTGAGAAAGTCATGAAGGTCAATATTGATATAGATGATCTTTACAGCAACAATCTTGCAGAAATCAAAGCTTACAATTCAGCCACGAATTCGCAAGGTGTAGTTTGGACACAGGCAATGCGCAGGCTTTATGTATTAGTTGCTCATGCTCTCCGAAACAATGAGCCTGTGTTGCTTGTGGGTGAAACCGGTTGCGGTAAGACTACAGTATGGCCAGATGCTAGCTGAAGCATTTGGAAAGACCCTTCACATCGTAAACGCACATCAAAATACAGAGACAGGAGATCTGATTGGAGCTCAAAGACCAGTGCGAAACAGAGCCGCTGTCTTGGAGCAGCTCAAAAAAGATCTTCTGCAGTCGTTGGATGGGGTTGGTCAACGTCAATCGGATTCTGAGAATTTCGAATCATTGTGGGCTACATATAAATCTCTTCCAGAAACAACCCTGTCTCAGATACCAATCGATCTGTCATCGCGAATTCAACTCAATCAAATTAAGGCCAAGGCACTCTTTGAGTGGTCTGATGGAAGTCTAGTGCAAGCATTGAAAGAAGGACAGTTCTTTTTACTTGACGAAATATCCCTCGCAGACGATTCAGTGTTAGAGAGATTAAACTCCGTTCTGGAGTCACATCGAACAATTCTGCTGGCAGAGAAGGGTGTAGAAAACTCGTTCGTCCAGGCTGCTGACGGGTTCCAATTTTTCGCGACTATGAACCCTGGAGGTGATTACGGTAAGAGGGAATTATCACCCGCTCTTCGAAACAGATTTACGGAAATCTGGGTTCCAGCCTTATCAGACCATGCAGATGTCATTCAAATTGTGGAAGCCAAGTTAAATTCCAAGATGAAACAATTCTCGGAGCCCATGGTCAAGTTTGCAGAATGGTTTGGTGAAACATATCGATCTACATCCTCGACCTCAATATCTGTTCGTGATATCTTGGCATGGATCAAATTCATGAATGAATGCTCGACTACCAATCCCCACTACGCTGTTCTTCATGGTGCGGCTATGGTTTATATTGATACCCTTGGAGCAAATCCAGCTGCTCTCTTGGCAATTAATCCGGAAACGATTCATGAGGAACGTGCAAAATGCCTCCATCAATTGGACGCTTTACTCAACCATGATGTCAATGCATATACTTTACACCAATACAATTTCAAGACCAAGATAGTCACATCTCCATGGGCGGCTTCCATGCTCCAAAATTGGCTGGCTCTGACAGCGATCCAGGGTTTGCCTTCGATGCACCTACGACGAAACTCAACGGCATGCGGGTACTTCGTGCTCTCCAAGTTCAAAAGCCCATACTTATCGAAGGTAGCCCTGGTGTTGGCAAGACGACCTTGATTGCAGCATTAGCACGTGCTTGCAATAGACCCCTGACGCGTATCAATTTGTCAGAGCAAACCGACCTGATGGATTTGTTTGGATCAGACGTTCCTGTTGAAGGTGCCGAAGCCGGACATTTCGCGTGGCGCGATGCTCCATTCCTTCAAGCAATGCAACGAGGAGAATGGGTACTTCTGGACGAGATGAATCTTGCCTCTCAATCGGTTCTCGAAGGTTTGAATGCTTGTCTTGATCACCGTGGAGAAGTCTATATTTCAGAGTTGGATCAGACGTTCAAGCGCCATCCGAACTTCTCTGTTTTTGCCGCTCAAAATCCTCATCACCAAGGTGGCGGCAGAAAGGGTCTCCCCAGTTCTTTTGTTAATCGATTTACTGTTGTCTATGCTGATGTGTTTAGAGATGATGATATGAAACTAATTTGCCAGCATAATTTCCCTTCTATGCCACAGGAATTAATCACAACCATCATCGATTTTGTCACCCGACTAGAAGACGAGATTGTACACAAGCGGAAGTTTGGCTCCCAAGGCGGTCCTTGGGAGTTTAATTTGCGAGATATCCTTCGATGGTTGCACTTGTTGACGTCGTCAGCTCCATTCCTTGCTAATCGAGGCCCAGCCGATTTTTTGAATTTAATATTTCGACAGCGTTTTAGAACTACCAGAGACAGAGAAGAGCTGGATAGAGTGTTTGCGCAGGCGTTTGGCTCAGATGTACCATTCCGTCAATTCTATCAAAACATGAGCTCGACCGCCTATCAGGTAGGAATAGCACATATGCCAAGACATGCACTCTACCACCGCACGGCATTTCCACAAGTTGACCCTGTTAATCGCCTTCCGGAGTTGGAGTCACTAATCATATGTGTCCAACAAAATCTACCTTGTATTTTAGTAGGATCATCAGGCTCTGGAAAGTCTACACTTCTTAAGCATGTTGCTGCTGCTAGTGGTAAATCTCTCACGGTATTTCCCTTGAATGCAGACATCGATACCATGGATCTAGTAGGTGGATTTGAGCAAGTCGATCCGCGAAGAGCCGCTAGCAAATTTTTACAAGAACTTCTTGAGTTTATGGAAAGTCGTATACTTAGCACAATTCCCCAACAGATTCCCGAAGATGCAATCAAAGTTCTCGATGTTTTGAGAAAGGATGCCATGAATTCCTCTTTCTCCTTCCAAGAGATTTCTATCCATCTTCGACAGCTGGAACAAGCAAGCTCGTTACCAGAATTTGGAGCACTGGCAGAGACGTGCGAAACTTTTGCAAGTCGCTCTATGGCCGTCGAGAATGCCAGGTTTGAATGGGTGGATGGTATCTTGATCAAGGCATTGGAGCAAGGAAAATGGTTAGTGCTTGATAATGCTAATTTATGCAGAGCTTCCGTATTGGACAGACTTAATTCGCTGCTTGAACCGAATGGATTTCTTAGTATCAATGAACATTGTGGACCAGATGGAGAACCAAAGATTGTCAAACCACATGCCGACTTTAGAATTTTCCTAACAATGGACCCTCGATTTGGGGAGCTGTCGCGTGCTATGAGAAATCGTGCGGTTGAGATATTCCTGGAGCCGCTCTTATCAGAGAACGACCCCAATACCGGCACTCAATTTTCTATTCTGCCAGAAGCCACACTTCAGAGATATCGCCAAGTGTCAAAAGTTCTAGACCTTCAATGTTCAGATCTTAGCCAGGCAGATCTTATCAATCGTATCGCACTCGAAAACTTGGCTTGGTCCGATTTGCCTCTTCTTACAAGATATGCTGAAAGCGTGGCCCAAAGTCTTGAGCAACAGGGGATACCTACCACAAGATTGTCGACAATATCTCGACAATATATGCAGTTATACCAGTCCGAAGACAGCCGCGAATTAAGAAATGCTGTGGGAGAGTTATTAAATAAAGTTGCGAAGAAGACCTTCTTACCCGCAGGCTTCAGTGACGCACAGGTTAGTGACCGTGCAGTCCCTTGCATAGTTAAACAATGTACTGATAGCGCAATTAAAAAATGTAGATCATCCATCCTCTCCAAAACTCGCCATTGGTGCCATTACTGCAATCCACTTCCAATGAATCGCAGGTTTATTGGATTGCAGCATGCCTGGAGTATAAACTTCAAATTGCAGCTGCATTAGAAGCCCATCAAGAACAGGAATCTGTCATTCAAACCCTTAAGCCTTCCCAAATGAATCGCCTCCAACGATCTATGGTTAGTGACAGAGTAGCTTCAGTAGCAAAGGACTCCACCTTACGAGTCTCCCACTTTTTGATGCATACACTTCAATCCATTAATTCTTATTTAAATATTCACGTTAAGGCAAATGACAGTTGCAAGGTAAGTTTTCAGACAAACATCATTGTACTTGCTTGCTCTCTTTCTAACCCCAGTCTAGTTTCGAAAGCAAATTATCACTTCTCTAATTCGCTATTGGTGGAGTACATTCAATCTTGTCACTGCCTCAACGTTTGAAGAAGCGACATTTCAGTCCCATTTGGCAATCGGAAATACAGTCATGGAGGAACTTCTCAAGAATAACCCTCTGGTTGATGAGCAGAAGTCGCTAATCACAACCTTTGTCTCGGATTTACAAACAAGTTTCGCTTCCGGATTCAAGTTGACGACGGGACTAAGCATGGAGTTGCTTTGGAAGCAACTCCGGCCTATGGTTCCCACCAAATTTGAAGTCATGCAAATCATAGATCAGATGGAGAAATTGGCTGTGAGGTTTGATGCTCTGCGATGGAAAGCATCAATCTCAGTCGCTGAGCTTGGAGGTATTATGACTTCTCTCGTGAAAGCACATCAACTTCTCTTATCCTCGGATGTGGATGGAGCTGCTCTCATTCAAACTTTGACATCGGAGATTGAAACCCTCGAGAAGAGTGTTGACAGTGAGGAGGATAGTCCGCGTCCGTTTTTACATGACCAATTCGAAGCTCTGAGACAATTTCAAGTTCTTGCAGCTCTGGCATCCAATCATCAAAACTAGTGATATGGTAGACATCGAAACCGTCGTTCTTGCCGATCATCCAATCACATCACAAATGCGTCTGAACACATCAAGCACAACTTCATGGCTGCTACAGAATATCGACTATTTATGGTCTGGTGATCATGGCCTTCAGCCTATTGCAAACAGCTTTTCGACAGATTTCCTGCATCAAATGAATATCATCAGCGAAGTTGACCTCAAGTCATTGAGGCTGCTCGAGTCCGAGCTGCCTGTCATGGCAGAAAAGCTTGCAAAATCTAGTGCAATAATATCCAGCAGCCAACTGGTGGCTATCAATCAAGTCCTTTCTCATCTCACGTCGACAATTATTGGCGCACACAGTGAGCAACTCACAAATGATTATCTGAACAGAAAAGAAAGTCTTGCTTCGCAGGATGTTACTGGAACCTGGCACAAAATCACTCTAGACGGCTTTTATGAAGCGGTCTCCGCTCACCAAGCAAAACATTTCAATGGCCAGCCATTAATTAATACAGATATCAATTCTGATATTGAAAAGTCAGTTTTCGCCATGGAAGCTGCGATTAAGTCGCCTAGAGACAATATGCAGTATTCAGCTTTGGCGTGGGTCCATTTTGCTGTGGGCTGCATTTCCCTTTACGTCCCCGATCGAGCATTTTGATCCCGACAAGAGACAGCGCCTCGAGCAACAGAGGCACGAAGAAGTAATCCGGGAGTTGCAAGATAAGCTCGATGCCCTGCAGAAATTCGAGCGTCTCTTCTCTGGCCAAGAATCGAATCTCCGCTGCCAACTTCTTGAAGCAGATATGGTAGAAATTGGTTGCCCCTCCAGAGGCATCAGAGCAAGTTTATCGGCCAGCAGTTTCCGAATTGGACAAGCTTCAGGGTGAATTCAAGAACCTCTTGAAAGTTGTTCTACCCTCACCTGCTATTGCGTCTAAATCTATCAATATTTGATAAATGACGATCAAGATGTCTTGAACGAAATCAAACTCATTCAGAATAACGTCCTTCAAATTATACGTCGTCTTTCAGAACGCTTCCATGCATATAGCGATCTTACCACACCTGTGATAAACATTCTTCGCTGTCTCCAAATAGGATTGTACATGGCGACACTCGTATCGAAGGATCCATCAAATAACAGCAAGGCAGCTTTGGCTCTAAGTAAAGCAACGCCATTCTTAGGGGGCACCCCTAAGTCTATCGATGAAGAGATCGTATCTGGTCAGCCATTAGAATACTTGACATTGATGGCTACTACTACGACAATCGAGAGTGTTGATTCCATAGATCCAAAAACTCGTGAATCACTCTTTACGTCTATTCATTCATGTTACGAGCAATGGACCAAGAAGCTTGACGCCGACAGACTTGAAGGAGAAACAAGGTCGGGCTTGTACAGATTCCGCGGAAGTGCTGAAGACGAAGACGAGATCGACCAAGAACAATTTAATGAGCTTTTCCCCTCATATGATGAGAACTCAAGCGCGTCAATTGCTACACCACAGCAACAAAATGTCAGAGATATTGCTGTCTCTTAGCTCGAGTGCACAAAAATATTTTCTTGGGTGGGCCATTACCATCTGAAAGTATCATGTCTTGATCAAGCACATTTCTACCCATATGGGCAAGCTCCATGGAAGTGACGCCGGATTTGGGGGTCGGGATAGGATTAAATCATCCTTCCAGGCTCGCTATTGCTGTTGAGTGATAAGATTGACGCTTTAAGTTCTTCTGCCACAGTACCGGAAAATTACAATTTTTACACGACGCAAATCTTCCGGAGACTCGCAAGTTAGTCAGTTTGATTCATCAAGTGCAAACAAGATTCAGAGAACTCCAAGCTGTGGATGAGATTGCACACATGCAACCCCTTGAAGATGTCCATGATTTCATGTAAAGAATTGCTTCAATTTCGCCACACAGAGCCACTTGCGAAGATCATCACCAAGGTAGAGAAAGTTCATAGCTTCATGCACGAATGGCAATTTGGCGGATGGGCCAGTCGTGCAAATTCTGCACTCCCTCTTTACGACAATTTGACTGCTACAATAGTAAATTGGCGTCGTCTCGAATTATCAACATGGGCCAAATTGTTTGACATGGAAAACAAACAGTGCGACGACGATTGCAAGATCCTGGTGGTTCGTCGCGTACCAGACAATCGTTGCCGGTCCACTCACAATATGTGAGTCTGTTGAAGAACTCAAAGCTTATGCTCAAAAGCTCCTACAAGATCTTGGCACCTATTTCTCAACAGCTATAATGGGCCAATATGTGCAACGTCTCAAGTTATTGAAGCAACTAGAGAAACACGTTGATCTCCTAGTATTGGACTATCCAAACCTTTCTATAATTGCGAGCGCTATGGCCAATTTCATCGCTCTTTATTCGAGGTACGAAAAGTCAGTAGAGGATAGCTTGAAGAGGGGCCGGGTATCGCTAGAGAAAGCTATGCGCGATGTGCTACTTCTTGCAGTTGGAAAGACACAAATATTGTTGCTTTACGCGACAGTGCCAAGAGGTCTCATCACAAGCTCTTCAAAATTGTTCGAAAGTATCGAGCACTCCTTGGCCAACCTATGGACTCACTTATCAAGCAAGGACTCCCTGATGAAGTCGCTGCCAATGAAGCCGGCATAACCTACCTCCCCCCAACACAATTTCCAACTGTCGACCAATCTGCCCTCGCATTATGTGCTTCCATGGTTCCTAGTTGGACACAGAAACCCAAGAGATTTATCAATGTGTCTAACACCGTCAGTATGATGGTAGACAAAAGTCAATTGCTTGCGTCTTCAGTGGATGGATCAAGCTACCTTGAGTCATTCCTCGAGAACATCATCACGTCAACTTCGGAGTTACAAAAGGCCACCCCATCGATCCTTACGGAAGACAACAAAGATACTGTTAAACATCTTAAATCTCAAAAACGCAAACTTTTCGCAGATACATTGAAAGATCTTCGTCAAATGGGAATCAAATATAACTTGGGTGCCAACGCACTTGCCAAGCAAGACTCACTGTCTCTCGTTCTGGCAAACACGAATTATATCTCTCCAGACGGCTCTCAAGATCTAGAGTACTACTTTCACAAGACAGTGGAGCTCGCTCCAAGAGCAAGAGAGGCATCAAGACAACATTCTGACGATCTAAGTGGCGCAGAGGTAGCTAGAAGTACTGGATTCTTGGAAGGCCTGTTGCAAGCTCTCTTGGACCAACGCAACAGTCTCTCAAATGCAATGAGAAACATGAAGGTCTTGCGAAATATCATCAAAATGGCGAAGGGTCTTTGGGCTCCGGAAACATATGAGCTCAAGACAGCTAGCACAATCTCTAATCATGAGAATGTCCTGCAGTGGTTGCCGAATATCCTGAGTGTCGGACTGGAGCTTATTAACACGCATGCAAAACTTGGAAAGGTTGATGCTAAGCCAGTTGTGGAAAGCTTGTCCTCGTGGAAATATATACTCGTTGACCTTCGGACCAGATGGTCTTCGTCGTCTGTTCTGCCATCTGGCATTGTGTCAACTCAACGCCTAGAGCTCGAGATGGCTATCAATGATGCCACTGAGCAGCTAACAATTGATTTGGGCAATCTCATCGAGCAGCGTCCAGACTTAGGATTCATTCTTGATCAGATCTTACCTTGGACTGTCATCAATTCATCATCGGCTACAGCTATTTCTACAGAGGCTCTCCTGGAAGATCTCGACCAGAAGCTTTCCACTGTTTGCAACACAATTTTAGCCGCCATGGAGAAATATCACAAATGCATTGGTGATCTGCCGACGTCAACTGAAGATCAAGGTTGGCTCATCAAGAGCGATACTACCCTCGTAAACAGCATCAAAGCTCTCCACTGTGACAATGTTGCTGGGCAAATCAGGCAGTCTTTTGCTATCCTTCAACGCCTCAATCTTGCAGATAACAATGTTAGTCGAAGCGCTGGTGCGATATTTGCAGTTGCCCTTCCAATCATCCAACAATACTATAACACATTGGAAGAAAGCATTGCTCGATACGCTACTTTACATCGTTCAACATGCAAGACTTCATACATTCTTGCCAAGACTTTTACACAAATCGCATCACAAGGTTTCTGTACACCATCAGAGAAACAAGATGCGCAAGATGGCAAGACCGAGAAATTGGAAGGGGGTACTGGACTTGGCGATGGAGAAGGTGCTGAGGATATAAGCAAAGATGTTGGAGAAGATGAAGATCTTGATGAGTTGGCTCAGGAACCAAACAAGGAAGAGAGAGGAGAAATTGAAGATGAACAAGATGCGGTTGATATGGCTGATGGCGAGATGGAAGGTCAAATGGGAGAAGCTGAAGAGAAAGAAGACGAGGATGGCTCGGGAGATGAAGAGAAAGATGGTGATGAGATGGATGAGGAAGCTGGAGATGTGGATGATTTGGATCCTAACGCAGTAGATGAGAAGATGTGGGATGGTGATAATGAGCAAGCTGAGAAAGATCAAGAAGGGGATGAATCCAAAGGAAAGGCTTCCAAAGACGAACAAGTCGCGGCTCAAGAAAATAACAAAGAATCTGGAGAGGGCGATGAGGGTAATGATGGGGAAGAAGAGGAGGAGATGGCAGGAGCTGAGCAAAGCGAGGAGGTTCAGCAACAAGACGATGTAGAAAAGCATGACCCACATGCCGATGAAGGGGATGCTTTGGATTTACCTGATGATATGCAATTGGATGGAGAAGAGAAAGAGGGGAGCGATGGTAGTGATGATGGGATGGATGACGGGATGGATGATCTTCCAGATATGGAAGACGAGGCCAAAGAAACAGATGAAGTTGCAAATGATGGAAAGGAAGAAGCGGATGCTGAAAATGCCGATGGCCAGGAAGATCAAGATATGGGCGATGAGATGGATATTATTGATTTGGATGAGGAGAAAAATGAAGAAGGGGAGAAGACTGAAGAGGCCGGCGAGAAAGGGGATCAAGAACCAGAAGAGGAACAACAACCGGAAGATCAAGAAGGTTTGTTGCGTGATCGCGAGGATGAAGCAACAGCCGATACCGAGAACGCTGTTCCAAGTGATGTTCAAGGCGTTGGCGAGGATCAGGACGATAATGAAGCCGATAAAAATGCCGACTCCAATAGCAAGGCTCAAAGAGATGATGGTGGTCAAGGTGGCGACTCATCTGAGAACAAACAATCAGCTGCCGAAGATGGTGAAAAGGGTCGACAAGCTGCAGGTGATGCACCACAGAACACTCAAGATGATACTGAAGATAGCCCTACTGCGCAGCCATTTAAGAAGCTTGGAGATGCTCTCGAGAAATGGCATCGTCAACAATCCCAAATCAGAGAGCCTACTGAGCAACAAGACCAAGCTCAAGATCAGAACATTGATATGGGAACAGAAAGCAATGAATTCCAACATTTGCAAGACGAAGACGCTGAAGCGGACACTCAAGCCTTAGGTACTGCTACAGAGGAACAAGCTCATGCTCTTGATGAATCTATGGCTGTCGATCCGGAAACTCAAGAGATGCCAGAAATATTCCAGCCAGATGAAGTTGAGAAAGATGTCATTGATGAAGATGTTATGGATCTCGAAGATGATACTCCAGAACCAAAGGAACCCTCCAACGCGTATGAAGGTCGAGCAGGAGCTTCTATCCATCAAGCCAATAACAATATGGATGAAAATATGGACGACAATACTCACGCTCAAGCCAATGAGGACATGGATGAAGATATCGAAGAAGTTGACACACAACTCGACAACACTCATCTTGATCCTAATACTACTGTTTCTGTTCGATCTGCAACCGAAGCTCGGGCCCAATGGACTCATTACGAATCGATCACGCGACCACTTTCCCTTTCCTTGACTGAGCAACTTCGATTAATCCTCGCTCCTACCTTGGCAACTAAAATGCGAGGTGATTTCCGTACTGGTAAACGTCTTAACATCAAACGGATCATTCCTTACATTGCCTCTTCATTCAAGCGCGATAAGATTTGGATGCGTCGTAGTATCCCCTCCAAACGTTCTTACCAAATCATGCTCGCCGTCGACGACTCCAAATCCATGGGAGAATCCGGTTCCGGAAGTCTCGCAATGGAGACATTAGTCATGATTTCAAGATCTCTCGCTATGCTTGAGGTTGGCGAGATATGCGTTGTTGGATTTGGAGAGAACGTTAAGGTGGCACATGAATTCGATGTGCCCTTTAGTTCTGAGGCTGGACCTGTTATTTTCGAGAATTTCGGATTCGAGCAATCGCGAACAGATATTACAAGACTCATTCGCGAGAGTATCAATCTGTTCCGCACTGCTAGACAAAAAGCATCATCATCTCCAGCGGATCTTTGGCAAATTTCTTTGATCATCTCAGATGGCGTTTGTAGTTCTTCTGAACACGATAATATCAGACGATTATTGAGAGAAGCGGAGGAGGAAAGAATACTAATGGTATTTGTGATTGTGGATGATGTGAGAACTAAGAAGAAGGGAGAAAGTGTTTTGGATCTCAAGGAAGCAAAGTTTGTGAACAATGAGATGACAGGAAGAAGTGAAGTGAAGATTGAGAGATATCTGGATACTTTCCCATTCAGATATTATGTTGTAGTCGGAGATGTAGGAGAGTTGCCAGGTGTGTTGGCGGGAGTATTGAGACAGTGGTTTGGGGAGGTTGTTGGTAGTGGTTGATAGATGGTTTTGGAGAGATACTATATTAGACTGTACATTTGTATTGATGCTTGTTTGCGGTTCGGCATGTTGACAGGAGCAAGGGAGTTCGCTGGGTGATTTGTGAATAGTTTGAGGTTCAGCTGTCTGTATATGGTTTTTTGTAAATTGCAATGAAAAGCTATTTGATTTTCTAACTGCTGCGCATTGAATTGAACCTTCAACTCATTCATACATACTTGATATTTTTCTCAAACAGCGTAATAATGAGATTATACTCAACGATCCCGTTCCAGGACACTAGTCCAATCAACCAGCGATGATAATTAACGTAACAGGATGATATTGTTAATCACAAGTATAGCGTATCATGCGGACATTTTTATTTAAAACGATTTCTTTATCTAATATACTATGATTCGATTTTAAAATTCATTGTCTAATATTTATAATTATTATTTAATATTCTATTCTCATCTAATACAGATATTCTATTATTCCCATCTAACATAATATTATAATATAATTAAAATAAATATTATATATAGAAAAATTTAGATTAAATAATAATCTACTTAACAATTTATTTTATAATCAAATATACGAGCTTTTTCTTGGCCCTTTGTGGTTAAAAATAATAACAGCCTTGCTAACACTCTCCATAATTATTTTTAATGCTATTCAGGATTTTTGCTTATGTTTGTGCTGCGTAGCTTTTTTATAATAATAACAATAATAACAATAATAATAATAATAATAATAATAATAATAATAATAATAATAATAATAATAATAATAATAATAATAATAACAATAATAATAATAATAATAATAATAATAATAATAATAATAATAATAATAATAATAATAATAATAATAATAATAATAATAATAATAATAATAATAATAATAATAATAATCATAATAATAATAATAATAATAATAATAATAATAATAATAATAATAATAATAATAATAATAATAATAATAATAATAATAATAATAATAATAATAATAATAATAATAATAATAATAATAATAATAATAATAATATAATATATATGAGGACCAGTCCTTACGCCCTAGAAAAAAGGGATACGATGACTCTCACCTGTATGTGGTGTATCCTATGAAACCTTCGATTGTGCGATCGTGTGACACTTTGCCTTAGAAGAACTGCAAGAGCAGGGTACAATTTATCCTTAGAATCTACAATTACAGAATCGGGAGCAAAGCATTCGTAAAGCGCTTCTATATACTAGTTATGTACATGTGATCGTGTATGTGCGTAAGCACGCATGTGAGCGATTACAACTGTGATTGGGTGCGATCCGTGACACTACCCCCCTTTTCGAAAAAGCTTATCCTCAAGCTTTACAATTACCTAATTTGTAGATGTATTGGCGATCTCAATAAGACATTATTGTTTACATTATAGCATAATGTGATAAATAGGTGTATGCGCAAATTTTGCTTTTTTTGCAACGGGAAAGCGTATAGGAAATGGAGGAAACCGTTCTGTAGCCTAACAATAACACAAAGCCTTCGAAACATATAGATTGCCCGAATTTCCCTCTCTTTTCTAATCTTTTCCGGTTATTTACTTTCTTGTATTCCTTGATAATAATCAATATACCTTCTATATCATTAAGAAAATACAGCAGCAAGAATAAATTGTTACTAGTACAATTAAAATAACAGGAGGATGTGTGTATAACAATGAATTGTTTATTTTTCTTTTACATTTGCTTTGCTGATATGCTTCTTTATAGTTTACAGTAAAAAGAATGTCTGCCTTTCTGTTATATAAGGCAAATATCCTGTTAAGGAGAGGAGAAATCGAGCTGCAACAGGAGTAGCAATAATCCTATCAACAAAAAGGAGAATAATAAAAAAGATAAATTGAACAATAAAGATGCATATAAATAAGACTTTCTTTTAATATCTCTGGCTTGCAGTTGGCTTATCTAATAAATACGATTATAGATACCGAAGGCAATATACCTGAGAGTAAAGTCAATCTTTGATATACTCATTGGATATATCCGTTCCATTATTTTTTGAGGCAGAATTTAAAGAAAGAATATAATTCTTTAATCGATTGTATTAATAATTACAAAAAAAAGTTCGCTAATAAATTAATTATAGTAATATATCATTTTTGTAATCTCAAAAATAATAGTAAGATAATTAAGGAAGATATTCTAAAGGCCTTGTATTAAAATCAATCTAGTTATAAATTTGATATATTTTATTATAGAAGTATTAGCTTTGTTAATATCAATAAATAAGGATCTTTAAATAAGAGATTACCAAAAAAAAACGGTATTACAATGGGAATAATATATTCAAAAGAACGACTGGGTTTGTACTGACTGTATATATAATTATATTTCCGGTAAGGGAAATGGTGTTTACTATCAACTTCCTAAACAATTGTCTAGTCAATCTTACTATCTACTTTGTCTAATTGGTAAGTATAAGTATAAGTGTTTGTTTTAACGGGAATATATACAAAATGTTTCTTTAATATCAATCGGCTATTACTAAATATAATAATATAATAAGATAAATTATAACTTTACTAGCTTTTAGCAAAATTAACTTTTGAGATAGTTTGATATAACAGAAGGAGCTAAAGAGTTGTGTTTCGAAAGAAATACTTTCTTTTATTCTTATTCAAAAAGCCACAGAGTATTATATAGCAAAGGCTGTATTGCGGGGAGACGAATTAGAATAGCAGCATTAGCTTATCCTAACTCAAATGGAAACAGAGCTTTTGGTAGTTTGCAAGTAATTGGGTATGATTAAGTACTAGCTTGGTTTTATTGTTGTATATACTGTAATTAAAGGTTATTTTATCTTTCGACTTATAATTATTTTGTGTATACTTATTGTTGCTATTAGCTGGGGATTTGACTAGTATTTCGGTTTAAACTATCCAATCTTTACTATTGTGTTTTACTCAACTATAATCATTAATACTTATAAAGGCTTTCTTTCTGGTTTGATTTAAGTCTATCAAATAGGGGAAAAGACTTTTTTTGTTGACATTTCATTTTTGTCCAATCGCTTTCAGCTTTTTGTATAATTAGGATTTTCTTTATTATAATAATAAATTAAAGAAGTTCTTTTTGTTTTTTTATTTATATATTAATTATTATTTATGAAATTATAATTATTCTTTCCATTCTTGTAAAGACAAATCCACTCCAGTAAGTGTACAGGGGGTTCTGGTAGAGTGGGATTTTGTAGGTGGAAGTCAATGGAGATGGTGTAGAGTAGTTTTTAAGTTAAAGGCGGGGTAGTAGGTGAGATTGTTATTAATATTCAATCACGATATTCTGTACTTAAGTTATTGGTATACTTTCTTACAGCTAAAATATACTTCATTTTCTATTTGGTATTATTAATAATATTTATTGGAAATGGTGGTTTGAGGATTTGTCCGGAAAGTGAATCGTCTATTACTTTACAAAGCTTGTTAGATAGAAATACAGGGTGGACTTTTATAGTGGGCGGTAAGTCTAATTGGAAGGAATCTCTGGTTTGATTAATGATCTTGATTTATCTTGAATAGAATAATCCAGTTTTTTGGATGGTTATTATATCGGAAAGTCCCTTATACTGAGTTATATATAGTCCTCCCATCTCGAAGTCGATTAAATAGTAATACAAATTAACTAATCAAGATATCTTTTCTTGTATATACAAAATATTTCTTTTGCTCGATTGAATGCTAATTTATTGCATTTGGTATACTTTTTAGTATCGATTATATTCAAATTATTAATAGGCATGATGGAGTTGAGTTTCCAATCTTAGGGATTGCAGGGTAGGTAGTTATACAAAGTCTTGTATGAGGTTTGATTATCTAGTAATTCATAGGGAAGTGTAAGTTGAGTGTAGTTCATTATTGATAGGAATTCAGATCAATTATCTTGATAATAGCTTATAAAGAGTTATAAGTGTTATTGGAGATATTGATTATAAATCTCAGTTTGATTGTCAATTTGTGGGTGGTAAGTAATAGATAACTTGATTTGTATTTTCTAAGATATTATTAATTCTTATCAGAATTTGGATATAAATTGAGGACTACAATCAGAGATTATAGTCTCCAAGGCATTATAGTATTTGTATACATAGTATAGATACAAGCAGGGCCTGATTTCTCGAATCGATTGATTTATGATAGGGTATCGAAATAGCTTGTTTAGTTAATTGGTTGATAATGATGAATATATTATTGTAACCATATTATCTTGTTGAAATTGCAGTAATCTATAGTGATATGTTACCATACTCGCATAGGGATCGGGAGCGGGTGGAGGAGATCGGGAATGCAATCTCTTGATATAGAGCTGTACTTGTATTTGTAGCAATTCCATATATATTGATTGATTGTATTGTTTATATTCTTTTAATAGTATTGATTAGCTAAAAGAGCATAGATCTTTTTGATATTAGGGTATGCAATAGAAACTAAATTGTGAATTTCGCAAATCAAATAGATTTACAGATTTTCAATATCCGGTATATAAAGTTGATTGTTATAAAACAAGAGTCCTTTCTCAAGTATAAATGTTTATACAATTTGGTAATTTGAACATACAAAGCTTTTAAACTTGAATAGGATTTATTTGCTTCAATAATATGATTTATAATATCGAAAAGCAATGTGATTATATATATATCAATATTTGCGATTATATCCAGATCTTGTTACAGAGATTTGTATATAATCTTTATATCTATTTGATCATCTTTTATAAACTGCTAAAAACGATTCTTCTTTTTAATACTGTTTTATTAATCCAACTCATTAGTATGACATATAAGCACATCTACAAGGAAATTGTTCTTTCCAGCACAATACATAATAATAAAGTTATAATCAACAAGTATTCTATCTAACACACTTATCAAACGTTTAGCTATTTAATAAATATAAAATATTCGAATACTTTATGATCAGTGTACATTTGATCTGGTATAGGGATCCAGTAAGTTTGGCTTTC